AATTTGGCTCCCACCTTCGCACCGAGCACAATCGTCTTGACAGTTTGCAACCGTATCAAGACGCCGCACGGTTGAACTCCCAGGAACGGTGTTGTGGCACGATTTGGGATTGTCAGGACGCAACAGCCACGCTGTATCGTGGTGCTGAGGTAATTAACAGGAACGGTGTTGTGGCACGATGAAACACTGTCAGGACGCAATGGTCATGTTGATTCGCGGTGCTGCAGTCCCAGGAATCGTGTTCTGGTACGATTGAAGATTGTCGCACGCTTCTCTTCCAATGGGGCATTCCCCGCAATGGAAATAATTGCTTCTGGGGGCCTATGAACTTGGAGGGAGTGTCTATTGCAACATTGTTGATGGGTCTCGAGTTTGCACTGGTCCTCCTCCTCCTCCTCATCCACCTCTAAGCCATCCGTATCCTCCTCAATTTTCTTCCTGCTCCTCCTCCTCCACCTCCTCCTCCTCCTCCTCCTCCTCACCATCCTCCTCCTCCTCATCATCATCATCCTCCTCCTCATCGTCATCACCATCACCACCACCATCATCAGAATCATCATCATCCTCATCCTTCTCCTCCTCCTCCTCCCTCCTCCCTCCTCCCTGTTCGAAGGACGGCAGCGTGGCTGGGCCTGGTTGATGGTCACCGTCGAGCCGCCACCGAACGGCAGGCCGAGCACGAGGGACGTGAACAGGGGCGCGCCCAGGTCCACGAGCCTGCCGGGGGAAGGGAAAGGGCCGCAGCTCGGGTCTCGGGCGGCCGTTCGGGACGATCCGGGCAGCCCCAGAGCGCCCTCGGCGAGGCGCAGCTGCTGGAACGCGCCCCGAGGCCCGAGAAAGCCGCGGCGGATCGAAGGAGACGGCCAAAAGAACCTCGAACCTCGAGGACCCCTCCCCACCCCCCCGCGGGCCTCCTCCCTCCCTGCCCCCATGCCCCCCCCACCCCATCCTCCCCTCCTCGATCCTCCGCGCGCTTCAGAGCAGGGGCCCCCCGGCTCGAGGTTGCGCCGCTCAAGCGCGGAGCTGCGCGGAGCTGCGCGGAGCTGCGCGGAGCTGCGCGGAGCTGCGCGGAGCTGCGCGGAGCTGCGCGGAGCTGCGCGGCGGCCGCCGCGGCGCGGCGCGAGAGAAGCACGGTGCCAGGCGACGGTGGGTCTTAGCGACGCAGTGCCCGAGGGCACGGACACGGAGACGGACACGGCCTGCGTCATGCACCGCGCGGGTGCTGCAGGGTGGGCCGAAGCGCCCGGCGCGAGAAGCACGGGGCCAGGCGGCGGTGGGCCTCGGCAAGGCAGTGCCCGGACACGGACACGGACACGGATACGGCCTGCGTCACGCACCGCGCGGGTGCTGCAGGGTGGGGCCGAGGCTGCCAAGATGCAGGACATGGTGAGGCGCCAGCCGGCCTGAGCTCTCAGAGGCGGGGGTCGGAGCCAGAGGGCACCCGATCCCCCGCGCGCTCGCCCAAGAGCTCCGTGGAGATGCTGCCCTGGATCGCGGCAGAGCGCGTAATGCGGAGTCTGCAGGAGTCGAGGAGGCCCCCATGAAGGCGCCCCCGCGGCTGGGAGGCGGCCTGCCAGCAGACCGTCGTCATGGGCCTCGGCCGACCGCGCCTCTGGGCAGGGCCCGTGGTGGAGCTGGTGAGTAGACCCCTATCCCTCTTCCTCCCTCTTCCTCCCTCTTCCTCCTCCGCCTCATCCATCCATCCTTCGGGAATCCTTCAATCCTCCTCTTCAACCCTCCTCCTCCTCCTCCTCCTCCTCCTCCTCCTCCTCCTCCTCCTCCTCCTCCTCCTCCTTCCTCCTCCTCCTCCTCCTCCTCCTCCTCCTAATAATTCCTGATTCCTGTCGGCAATATGGCCGTTCAGATTAAGCCACCCTCCTCCTCCTCCTCTTCCTCCTCCTCCTCCTCCTGCTCCTCCTCCTTCTCCTACACATCCACCTCCTACTCGTCCTTCTCCTCATCCTCTTCGTCCTCCTCCGCATCTTCCTCGTCCTACCCTACTCCTCCTCCTCCTCCTCCTCCTCCTCCCTCCTCCTCCTCCTCCTCCTCCTCCTCCTCCTCATACTCCTCCGATTCATCCTCCTCCACATCCTCATCATCATCAGCAGCATCAAAATCCTCATCATCATCATCATCATCATCATCAGCAGCAGCAGCAGCAGCATCAGCATCATAATCGTCAGCATCAGCATCATCCTCATAATCAGCATCATCATCACCATCATCATAATCATCCTCAGCAGCAGCAGCAGCATCATCATCCTACCGTCGAACTCCTCCTATTCCTCCTACTCTTCATCCTCCTCATCCTCCTTTTCCTCATCAGCATCATCATCACCACCATCCTCCTCCTCCTCCTCATCCTCCTCCTCCTCCTTTCCTCTTCCTTATAAATAACTTCTCCATGTCGCACCCCGAGGCCAGTTTTTAGGGCGGGCCTGGCGTTTCGCCTTAGACGTCCTCACCAGTTATAGCTCTGAAGCTTGAAAATTGACAACATGTTCGCAAATGGAGGACGGGTCGTTTTCAAAATGTGGCTCTCGCCTTAGCGCGGCGCACATTCGTTTTACACATTTGCCAAAGTTTCACGGATTGAGGGCGGGTGGTTTGCAAAAAGCGGCTCTCGCCTAGGCGCGGCGCGCATTCGTGGCAAAAACTTGCAAGAGTTTCACGGATTGAGGGCGGGTGGTTTTCACAATGTGGCTCTCGCCTTAGCGCGACGCGCGCTCGCTTTAAAACAGTTGCAAGAGCTTCACGGATTGAGAGCGAGTCGTTTTCAAAATGTGCATCTCGCCTCAGCGCGGCACACATTCATCGTAAAAATCTGCAAGGGTTTCACGGAGTGAGGGCGGTTTCTTTTCAGACCGTGGCTCTCGCCTTAGCGCCGCGCACATTCGTGCGAAAAAAGTGTGAGAGGTTCCCGGGTTCCGGGCGCAGCAGTTCCGTTGACTCTCTCTGTTGAAGTCATTGGAATGGCGTTCTGCCACGATTCAACATCGCCAAGACGCAACAGCCAGGATGATCCGTGGCGTTGAGATCACGAGAACAATATGTTGGAATGTTTCAGGGTCTTCAAACGGGTGTCTACCAACGAGGCAGTTCCATCAATGGAATGAACCGTTGTAGAGGCCTGTGAAGAGGGAGCTCGGAGGGAAGGTTTACTCCAACATCGTTAGTAACTCTTAGGTTTACACTGGTCCTCTTCCACCTCCTCCACCTCCTCTTCCTCCGCCTCCGCCTCCTCCTGCTCCTCCTCCTCCTCCTCCTCCTCCTCCTCCTCCTCCACCGCCTCCTTCTCCGCCTCCTCCTCCTCCTCCTGTCCTGTACCATATCAACAGCAGCCCCCTGTCGCACCCCGAGGCCAGTCGGAAGGGCGGGCTGGGCGTTTCGTCTGAGATTTCCTTACCATCTAGAACCCTGAAGCTTAATACTTCGCAACAGCTTCACAGATGGAGGGCAGGCCCCTTCCAAAATGTGGTTCGCGTATTAGCGCCTCGGACAGCTGATTCAGAAAATGCAAGAGCTTCACACACGTAGGGCGGGCCGTTCGCAAAATGTGGCTCTCGCTTTAGCGACGCGCACATTCGTCTTCATTGAAAGTTTGCAAGAATTGCACGGATTGAGGGCGGCCCGTTTTCAAAACGTTGCTCTCGCCTTGGCGCCGCGCACATTCGCCTTAAACATGCGCAAAGAGTTTCACAGACTGAATGCGGTGCGTTTTCAAATGTGACTCTCGCCTTAGCGCCGCGAACCTTCGTACGAGAAGGTAATTGGTTCCTATGGTCAACCAGAAGCGGTGTTTTGAAATGATTTAGTATTGCGAGGGCGCCACATTCACGTTGATTCGTCGTGTCCAGAAAGTCCCAGGAACGGTGTTGTGGCACGATTCAGGATCGTCCGGACGCACCAGTCAGCTTGATTCGTGGCGTTGGGATTCCAAGAACGGTGAGTTTGCACGCTTCAGGATTTTCATACGGTTGTCTCCCTACAAGGCACTTCCCTCAGTGGAAATGAACCATTTGAGGGGCCTATAGAGAGGGAGCTTGAAGGGAGGGTTGATTCCAACATCGTGGATGAGTATTGGGTTTACACTGGTCCTCCCCTATCACTCATCCTCCTCCTCATCATCATCGCCATTATCGCCATCGTCATCGTCACCACCACCACCACCATCATCATCAACCATAACAGCATCATCACCATCAGCATCATCATCAGCATCAGCATCGCCATCATCATCATCATCATCATCGTCATCATCATCACCACCACCAGCATCATCATCGTAGTCATCAGTATCCTCGTCGTCATCATCAGCATCAACAGCAAACGTCGTCATCATCAGGCTCATCATTACCATCATCAACAGCAGCATCATCAGCACCATCCGCATTATCATCATCAGCATCATCATCATCACCACCACCATCATCATCATCATCATCACCACCACCATCATCATCATCATATACAGATTCAGATGAATCATCGTCATCATCCTCATCCTCATCCTCATCATCCTCGCCATCAGCATCATCATCATCATAATCGTCAGCAGCATCAGCATCATCATCATCAGTATCAAAATCATCATCATCAGCAGCAGCATCATCATCATCATAACCATCATCATCATCGCCACCACCACCACCATCATCATCATCATCATCATCATCATCATCATCATCATCATCATCATCATCATCATCATCATCATTATCATCGTCGTCCCTCCTTCTCCTGCTCCCACCGCCGGGGGGTGGGAGTAGGAAACATGGAGGGTAGGGCGAGGGGAGGGAAAGGGTTTGATAGGGCTTTGAGAGCAGGGAGTTCTGGGAGATCCTGTGGGGCCCCCGAGGGTCCTGAAGAGGACGAGGGAAGAGGAAGGGAACAGCGGGAGAGAGGGGGGAGGGGAGGGGAGGGTGCGGTGGCAGGACGCCGACCCCTCCCCAGGGGTCGGAGTTTCGTCTCGGATCCAGCGTCCCCGTCCTCGCCCCCGTCCTCGTCGTCCCCGCCCCCGTCCTCGCCGTCCCGATCGTCGCCCTCGCCGCTGCCTATTCGCCGTCGCCGCCGCCCTCGCCGACCCGCCGCCCTTGCCCCCGTGGCCGGCGAACCCCCCGAGGATGGAGGCCGCCGCCTGTCGAACGGCAGCAGCAGCTCCGCGGTCAGCTCCCGCCGCGCCAGCTCGCCCAGCTCGGGCCTCTCTTCGGCCGCGCCGCGCCCCGGGCCTCCCATAGCCACCCAGTCGGGCCCCCTCCCTCCCTCCCGAGAACCTCCCTCCCTCCCCCTCCCGCCCCTCCTCACCCCCTCCACTCCTCTCCTCCCCCTTCTCCACCGCCCTCGCTTCGGGACCCACTCGTTCCGCTCTGTCTCTCTCTCTCTCTCTCTTTCTCTCTCGCTCTCTCTTTCTCTCTCTCCCGGCACACTCGAGGCCTTCGTGAACTGCTCTGCGGCCGTTCCTTGCGCCTTGGGGCCAACGGCCTGACAACAAGCTCTGGAACCAACATTTGGCATCGCCTTTTTGCGTCGCGTGTCCGAGATTGGAACTCTCTTTGTCGTCGCGACCGTTGGTCGCAGCCTTCACCAGAGCGCCAGACTAACGACGGGGCGGGCGAGGTTCAACTCGCCCGCCTCGAAGTGTCGCAAGGAGGCGGGCTGCGTATCCCTCGTCTTTTGCGTAAGAAAAGCTTGACGCATTCCGGCCTGGCCTCCGAACAGCCCTGGCGGAGATCCGACTGAAGCTTCGCATCCGCAACCGTGGCCCCCGGCGAGGCGAGGCGTGGCAGAATGCCAAGTGCTGTCGGGTAGGGCGTCTGCAGTCTTCTGAAGGACCCCCCCTTGAACGGTTTCCCACGGGGCCGTAGCCGACCCGAGGAGGAGGAGGAGGAGGAGGAGGTGGAGGAGGGGGAAGGGGAGGAGGAGATGGAGGAGGACGAGGAGGAGGAGGAGGAGGAGGAGGAGGACGACAAGGAGGAGGAGGAGGAGGAGGAGGAGGAGTTGTTGGAGGAGACTTGTTGGAGGAGGAGGAGGAGGAGGAGGAGGCGGAGGAGGGGGAGGGGTCGCCTGAGCCCTTCGGAGAAACCCTCCACCCCCCCTCTCACAGCAGAGGTCTGCGTGCATCCCCATCCCCAAGGGTTCCCAGGCGCGCCGCCCCAACGCCTCCCTGGCGCTCTCCAGAGGCCGCCAGGGTGGCCCCAAGATCGCCCCACAACGCCCCGCGATGACATCCAGACAGCCCAAGAGGCCTCAAGACGGCCCAAGAGGGCGTCAAGATGACCCCTGGTAGGACCCAAGGAGAACAAAATCAATGACTGCCCCCCGGTGTGTTTAGCAGTATTGGCGCTTGTCGGGCCCACGAGGCGTCCAAGACGGCCCCAAGACAGCCCAAGAGGCCCCCAAGATGGTCTTGAGACGTCCCCGCATGATGGCCCAAGAGGCCTCCAACACGGCCCAAAGGGGCCCCAAGGCAGCCCACGAGACCCCGAAGGCGACCCTTCGGGGACAGGAGGGCCGAAAGACGACCCAGAGAGGCCCCCAAGACAGACTCTGAAGGTGCCAGACTGCCCAAGAGCGCCGTAGACGGCCCTGTGGAGCGCCCAAGAGCTCCCGAGAGGTCCCCAAGACGCCCCCAGGAAGCTTCCAAGACGCCCACAAGAAGCCCCTAAGACGGCCAAGGAGGGCCCCGAGATGGCCAAAGACGGCGCCGAGGGACCCGGAAGAATCTGGATCCCCTCGCACTCCTCCTTATGAAGGAAAGCGCAGGCGCGAAGGGCAGACTGGCTCGACGTTCGCACGAATAAGTTGAGACGATGGCTTTGAGAAGAAAGGCGCAACGTTCAAACCCGACGGTTCCTTATGTCGCGGACCGCGCACACAAATTCGCTGCAGACAGGCAGCTGGCCAGCCTGGTGACTGTCTCGTTCCCTGATGCCGAGAAACCGTCTCCGTCATGTGTTCGATCCTCTCGAACTCGTTCCAAATCCCAGAAGGACATCCGGTAAAAATGCTGGCTGGCCGCTGGGGGTACCTCCATTGTGGTAAGGACTGCAGTGTGCGGGCGAAGCTCGCATACATCCGTGATCCAGGTGTGCCTGTGAAGCTCGCGCAGGCCCGTCACACTCACCGTCTCTGGCGGTCGGGAGGTACGGACCGGTTGAGTCGGTGCTCGACCGTGTGTGGCGCCGGCGCTTGGCACCACATCTTGGCCACCGAGGAGAAGTGCCCAAGGCACCGCACCGATGGCAGGAACAGGGCTATGAAGAGTCAAGCTGGGCGCGGGCTGCTACTCCCAGCGGCCGGTCCCCAGATCGCCTCCCGTGGGGCCTCTGCTCGAACATCGCCAAGTGGGGTGGGCGAAGGGGCTCCATGAGGTCATGGTCCAAAGTCCAAAGGAGATGCGCTTGCTGATCGAATCATGGTTGACAAGATCTCAGCTGAACTTCCCAGGCCAGGTGGCGGAAGTGGTAGCCGCGAAGCCCGTGGGACCTGGCCTGTCAGCATGGTGGCGCCGTGGACACAGAGGAGCGGAAACCGGAAATAAGAACGAGCGGGAGAGGGGGAAGGAAGAGGATGAGGAGCGACGAGGAGGATGGAAGAGGAGGGACGGACGAGGAAGGAGGGAGGACGGAGGAGGAGGGAAAGGAAGATGAGGAAGGAGGAAAGAGAACGAGGGAGGAGGACCAGGAGGACCAGGAGGAAGGACGGAGGAGGAGCCAGCCGGCGCTGGCCGTCGACCGCGACCTAGCTGCAAGCGGCGCCAAGGTGCATGCGCTCGCCCAGCTCGTGCTGGCGGGGCCCGACCGCCCCAAGCTCCCGAATGCAGCCTGTATCAATTATGGGGGCCCTTAATTCGGAGTGCAGCCACCCCACGGCGCGCATGGCACGAAGGCCCTTCCAAGGCTTGCGCAAGGGTTCATGACAGGGTTGGCTGGCCAGCGAAGTCTTTGCGCCCCAGCGGGCCCACCGTGAGTGAGGGGAGGTGGGGTCGGTGCGTGGGCTGGACATCGGGGCCTGGTGTTTGGCGCTTCGGGGAAAACAAAGACGGAGGAGGGAGGAGGAGGAGGAGGAGGAGGAGGAGGAGGAGGGGAGGAGGAGGAGGAGGGGAGGAGGAGGGGAGGAGAGAGGAGGAGGAGGAGGAGGAGGAGGAGGAGGAGGAGTGGAGGAGGAGGAGGAGGGAGGAGGAGAGGAGGAGGAGGAGGAGGAGGAGGAGGAGGAGGAGGAGGAGGAGGAGAGAACAGGGAGAGGAGAGGAGGAGGACGGACGGACGGACGGAGGGACGGACGTCCGGACGGAGGGAGGAGAGAGCATGAAGAGGAGGAGGGGGGAGGAGGAGAGATCAGGGAGGACTACCTTTTGTTGATGCAAGTTAGAGCACCTGTCGATCTGTCTCCGATGGGAACATGTTGCACCCGAGTGCCTGGCTCCTTCAGGCGGAGGTTTGTCTTGACAGTCGCCTCATACTCCAAGGCTTTGCCTGTCTGACACCGAGCGCACTCAGGGCGGGGTTCCTGAAACCAGCCAAGGCTTGCAAAACCTGTCTACAACGCATGCACATCAAGCTTCGATTAGCGCACTCCAACGACAGGGAGGAAGAGGAAGAGGAGGAGGAGGGAAGAAGATTTTGGATTGCGACGCTGATAATGCCGGCAGCCTTATCAGCAGAGCGCGGCGCTACAACCCGGCAGCAGATTCTAAGTCGACCTACTAAATAGCTCTGCGCGGGCACCAGGTGAAGCAAGCACTGTTCAAAAAAACTGTACAGGACATGGAAGGTGTGCACAGCGGCTGAGACAGCAAGACAGCAACAAGGGCGGGCCTGGTGTGACGCTGGCGAGGTATCCCTGACGAGGGGGGGAGGAGGGAATAGGAATAGGATGATACTGGAGAGAAAAACCCCAATCAGCATCTTTTCACAGTTATAGGGCTATGGGGCGATAGGGCTATAGGGCTATAAGGCTCTGGAACTATAGGGCTATAGGGCTACAAGGCTATACGACTATAGGACTATTAAGCTATAGGACTATTAGGGCTATGGGGCTATGGGGTTATAGGGTTACAGGGCTATAGGGCTATAGGGCTGTACGGCTATAGGGCTATAGGGCTATAGGGCTATAGGGCTACAGGGCTATAGGGCTATGGGGCTATAGGGCTATAGGGCTATAAGGTTATAGTGATATAGGCCTATAGGGCTATAGGGTTACAGGGCACCCGGGCACCCTGACACCCGGGCACCTGGGCACCCGGGCAGCCGGGCGTGCCGCCGAAATCGGCGCCGTACCTCACTTAGTCATACAAATCCACTAAGACCCCTACAGAGGCGAGCCCTGATGGGGGAAATAACAACATGACGGTATCATATGAATCGAGATGGCCGTGAACGTGCTGCCCTCTCGGCGGGACTCAGCACCTTGGGAGCGAGCCCTCACCCGATCAGTCCTGGGCACGCTCTCCTGGCATCGTTCAGGGGCCTGCGGCACATCCTTTTGAAATCGGTGCGAAAATTCAGGGCGCAACAGAGAAACCACACTTCCCGCAAAACCAGAGCCCCAGAGTGTGATGGTACGCCGATTCCTGTGAGGAGGGTGGGAGGAGGTCTCCTCCTCCTCCTCCTCCTCCTCCTCCTCCTCCTCCTCCTCCTCCTCCTCCACAATTACTCCATATGAATACTACTCTCCCTCTTCCCCTGATGACGGTTTGAAAGTGGCCGACCCCCCCCCCGCGTACTGTTTTGTTACGCACAGGTTTCCCCGGAGTTGGGTTTTCGCCTGCATTTGTTTTCAAAATGCTGCTCTCGCTGAAGCGCGGCGCTCCGAGCTTCTACTTCTCCTCCTCCTCCTCCTCCTCCTCCTCCTCCTCCTCCTCCTCCTCCTCCTCCTCCTCCTCTTCCTCCTCCTCCGCACCTCTACCCTCCGCGCAGCCTCCCCGCTCCCCCCGGCGGGAGGGCGCACGGCCTCGGGGACAGCTGCAGCGTGAGCACCGAGTGCGACGAGCGCGGCTCGACCTGCCGCGCCCCCGCCTCAGGCACACCCGCCGGGACGACGACGACAACGACGACGACGACGACGACGACGGCAGAACGGGCCGTGGCTCGAGAGCAGAAGGCTTGAGAATCGGGGGTCCGAGGAGGACACCCCTGGGCAGTTTCGAAGCCTCTTGGAGCAGCCCCATCGCCAGGGCTGGGTTCCCCCTGACAGGATGGCCACGACGCAGCCCATGGAAACGTCGGGGAAACAAACAAAAAACGACGAATGGTTCGGGACAACAAACAACAACAACAACAACAACAACAACAACAACAACAACAACAACAACAACAACAACAACAACAACAACAACAACAACAACAACAACAACAACAACAACAGCAGCAGCAACAACAACAACAGCAACAGCAACAGCAACAGCAACAGCAACAGCAACAGCAACAGCAACAGCAACAACAACAGCAACAGCAACAGCAACAACAACAATAAGTTTAAGGTTGTTCGCCCTTATATGCTCGAGTGTCCAATAACGCGTATATCCCAAACACTCGATACCCGCCCTCTTCGTCTTCGATCGAACCCCTTTTGGGGGGTATACCTTTCTTCCTTGCAGGCCGGGCCCTGGCAAGCGGCGGGGCGGCCGCGGACCGTCGGCCTGGCCAGCGGCAGCGCTGATCGGCGGGGCGGCCGCGGACCGTCGACCCGACCCCCAGAGGGACGGACAGGGAACCGACCACGACGAGGACGACGACGACGACGTCGACGACGACGGCGACGACGACGAACGGCGACGTCGAAGACGACGGCGACGACGACGACGACGGCGACGACGAGCGAAAGCGAGAGCGAGAGAGAACGACAGCAGGGCCACGAAGGGCACAAAGTAGGCCACGAAGGGCGACAGCGGGGACACGAAGGGAATGCGTATGGGGCCACGCAGAGCGCGAACGAGCGGGGGCCACGAAGTGCACATAATGCGAGGCCACAGAAGGCAACTATGGGGCCACTGAGGGTAGCAACTGGGCCACGTAGGACAATGAGGGGGACACAAATGGCGACAGCGGGGCCACGAAGGGCATGCACATGGGGCCACAACGGGCGCGGCTCCTGGGTGCTTGGGTGTCGGGAGCGCGGCGCTCAGGCAAATTGCAAAAAAAATCCAACGTAAGGCCAGTCTTCAATAAGTTGCAAGGAAGTCTCCAGCGAGAGCGCGTCTCCAGAGCGCCGGGAGGGCGATTCCTGAATAAATTGTAAGGAAGTCCAAAGCGAGAGCGCGATTCCTGAGTAAAATGCGAGGAAGGAAGGCTCGGGCGGCAGCGGTGGTTATGGCTAAATTGTAAGGAATTCTCAAGCGGGAGCCGTTGCTGTTGTAACCCAGGGGCCAGGGACCCAGTTTGAGCGTCAAGACTTCCCCTGTCAAAAAAACAATGTGCGAGCGTCGAGGGCACACCTTGATTGAGAAAAAACAGTATGCACCAGTGGGGGATCAACAATAATGATTCTTCAGAACTGAGAATTCAACAACAACAACAACAACAACAACAACAACAACAACAACAACAACAACAACAACAACAGCAGCAGCAGCAGCAGCAGCAGCAGCAGCAGCAACAACAACAACAACAACAACAACAACAACAACAACACACCACAACAACAACAACAACAACAACAACAACAACAACAACACAGCAACAGCAACAACAACAACAACAACAACAACAATCATTTTACCCGAACGCTCAGTGTTCTCACCAGTGCCAGGGTTTTCATGCGACGCGAGACAATACCCCCACTTCGTGGGGGGGCAGTTCAAGCTCTACCAAATATCCAAACGACTCTTCGCGACCACCCAAACCCAGCTTCCCGCCCTATGACGTTGGGACACTTCACTTCGTGGCGTGCGGACGACCGTGGCTACTACACTGGCGTGGGGTACACACCCACAGAACTTGGTCACTTATTCGGGGCGCGCGTGTGCCCAGCATCCTGCAATTGTGACATACAATACATGACAAAGACAGACAGAGAGAGAGACAGAGAGCAGACAGAGAGAGAGACAGAGAGAGCGGAGTTGGTCACATTTTTGGGGCAAGTTCCTGAGATCGTCGTGTTTTTTGTTGGTCTTGCGCGCGCGAATGTCCACTTTACATTTTTTTTGCAAGGGATTATTGAAATTTGATTATGTTAGAACAAGAAAAAATAGCTCGCGCGAGCTCATGTAACACAAATGTTGAAAAACCATTGATTTTGTGGGAGTCGGACAGCGCGCGCGGGATGAAATTTGGACATTTTTTTTTGAAAAACCATTGGGTTTTTGATGTTTTTTATGTTGAAATCGCTACGAAACCTAAGGTTCTGGAAGGATTTCGTCTTGCGCGCACGAATGTCCACTTTACCTTATTTTTTGCAAGGGATTATTGAAATTTGATTATGTTAGAACAAGAAAAAGTAGCTCGCGCGAGCTCATGTAACATAAATGTTGAAAAACCATTGGTTTTGTGGGATTCGGACAGCGCGCGCGGAAGGACATTTGGACAATTTTTTCTTAAAAAACCATTGGGTTTTTGATGTTTTTATGTTAAAATCGTTACGAAACCTAAGGTTTTGGAAGGATTTCGTCTTGCGCGCACGAATGTCCACTTTACATTATTTTTTGCAAGGGATTCTTGCAATTTGATCAAGTAAGAACAAGAATTTTCATTTTCTAGTGTTTTTTGCAAGGGAAACCGGATTACAACAAAACAACCGGATCCGGTGACAATCCACTTTTCTGAAGCTTTTCGCGAAATAATAATAAAATGATGAAAATTAGCTGCGGGCCTAGGCGCGGCGCAGAGGTCGCGCACATGGGTCCCCAACTATAATAATTTATTTAGAAGGGAAATAATGTTCAACAACAACTAAACAACAACAATCACTTTACCCGAACGCTCGTGTTTCACCAGTGCCAGGGTTTTCATAGGAGGCGGGCAATACCCCCACTTTGTGGGGGGGCCGGTTCAAGCTCTACCAAATTTCCAAACGACTCTTCGCCACCCCCCACACCCAGCTTCCCGCCCTATGACGTTCGGACACTTCACTTCGTGGCCTGCGGACGACCGTGGCTACTACACTGGCGCATGGGTACAGTGACTTGTTGTGGTAACATTTTCTGGACGCTTAGCTTGTTAGAAATTTTGAAAATTCGTACAGATGTTTTTCGAGGACCTACGGTGCGATTCGTATGATTTTATGTTGCGCGGTGCTAAAATTCCTAAGAAACCCAATGGTTTTTGAAGATTTCGGCGTGCGCGCGCGAAGAAAAAACGAATGTGCCCCGCATGGTATTATTTGACAGGGATGATGGCCCTGGCAGGTGCGCAACCGTTGTCGCTGAAGTTCGAAAAAGTTGCTCGCAAAAGCCCGTTTGACAGAAATGTTTAAAAAGTGTTGGGTTTCCTACGAATCCGCAAGAGCGCGCGGGATGAGATTTTGACATTTTTTTTGTTGAAAAACCATTGGTTTTTTGATGTTTTTATGTTAAAATCGCTCCGTACACTAAGCTTTTGGAAGGATTTCGTCTTGCGCGCGCGAATGTCCACTTTACCTTATTTTTTGCAAGGGATTCTTGAAATTTGATTATATTAGAACAAGAAATGTCATTTTATAGTGTTTTTTTTTGCAAGGGAAAACGGATTACAACAAAACAACCGGATCTTGATCAACTCGAATTACCTGAGGCTTCCTCACGAAAATGATGAAAACGTGGCTGCGGCCTAGGCGCGGCGGGGGGGGCGCGCACCAGGGGGCCCAACAATAATTATTCTTTAGAATTATTAATGTTCAACAACAACAAACATTACTAGCACGTGGGGACACTCCGTTCTCACCAGTGCCAGGGTTTTCATAGGAGGCGGGCAATACCCCCACTTTGTGGGGGGGCCGGTTCAAGCTCTACCAAATTTCCAAACGACTCTTCGCCACCCCCCACACCCAGCTTACCGCCCTATGACGTTCGGACACTTCACTTCGTGGCATGCGGACGACCGTGGCTACTATTCAGGGCCCCGCGGCCGACGACGACGGCGTGCGCGCGCGAAGAAAAAACGAATGTGTCACGCATGGTATTATTTGACAGGGATGATGGCCCTGGCAGGTGCGCAACCGTGGTTGCAGAAGTTCGAAAAAGTTGCTCGCAAAAGCCCGTTTGACAGAAATGTTTAAAAAGTGTTGGGTTTCCTACGAATCCGCAAGAGCGCGCGGGATGAAATTTTGACATTTGTTTGTTGAAAAACCATTGGTTTTTTGATGTTTTTATGTTAAAATCGTTCCGAACACTAAGCTTTTGGAAGGATTTCGTCTTGCGCGCGCGAATGTCCACTTTACCTTTTTTTGCAAGGGATTCTTGAAGTTTGGTTATGTTAGAACAAGAAATGTCCACTTTAGCTTATTGCTTGCAAGGGAAAACCGATCGTAACAACACAACCGGATCCGGACTCCCCCGTTTTGCCTGAGACTTCCTCACGAAAATGATGAAAATGAGGCTGCGGCCTAGGCGCGGCGGGGGGGTCGTGCACCAGGGGCCCCAACAATAATTATTCTTTAGAAGCAACAACAACAACAACAACAACAATAATAATAATAATGATAATAATAATAATAACAATGATAATAATAATAACAATAATAATAATACTATTAATAATAATAAGTTTAAAACTGATCGCCCTTATATGCTCGAGTGTCCAATAACGCGTATATCCCACACACTCGATACCCGCCCTCTTCGTCTTCGATCGAACCCCTTTTTGGGGGTATACCTTTCTTCCCTGCAGGCCGGGCCCTGGCAAGCGGCGGGGCGGCCGCGGACCGTCGGCCTGGCCAGCGGCAGCGCTGATCGGCGGGGCGGCCGCGGACCGTCGACCCGACCCCAAAGAGGGACGGACAGGGGACCGACCACGACGACGACGACGACGACGACGACGACGTCGAAGACGACGGCGACGACGACGACGACGGCGACGACGAGCGAAAG